CGGTCCCGCCGCCCCGGGCAACCACCCAAACGCCCCCGCCTTCATATCCTTCATCTGCGCCTCCACCATCTTCTTCTCCTCCTCTGCCATCTCCCTCAACCACGTCTCCCCATTCTCACGTATCTGCTGATCCAAATGGCGATAATTCTGCCTATTAAACTCGCGATACATATCGATCATCATCTTCCCCTCCGCCATACCCTGCGCGATATTCTGATCCCCGAGCACCATGCCCGGTTTCGCCGCATCGAGGCCCAAGCTCTTCATGAACATGCCGCCAGCGCTGGGTCTAGCTTTCGCCGTCTGCGCCGCGCGGTCGGCGAGGAATTGCTCCCGCAGTTTCGCCTCGCGACGGGCGTATTCTGTGGGGATGTGTTTTCCGGCCATGGAGGCGAGGATTGTGCGGATATCGAGCGGCTGGCCGGATTGCGACATCATGGCGCAGTATTCGAGGAAGGGGATTAGGGCGACGAGGTCGGTGTCTGTGGGTGTGCCTTTCCATTTCGGGAGGATTATGGCGTTTTCGGGCTGCATTTTTGTGTGGGCGGGGTTTGTGTCGAGGACGATTACTTTGGAGAGGTCGCGGTTTAGGTAGGAGAGGTCCTTTGTTTTGTTAATGAGGAGGTATATGAGGGGGGTGGAGGGGGCGATTTACCTTTACGTATTCGCCGTTTTCGAAGCGCGTTGCTTCGCGGAAGAGCGGCCACATTACCAGACGGAAGGGGTCGAGCTTGCGGATGATGGGGTCTGCGTCCATGGATTTGACGGATGTGAAGATGACGAGCTCGTACTGGGAGCTGAGGTAGCGCAGGAAGTAGTCGAGGCCCGGCCGCTTAGCCAGGCGGTATCCGTGCTGGGTGCTCCATTCCGAGTGCAGCAGCAGATCCTCCAGGCTGAGGACGAGGGTGAGTTCCGGGGCGCCGCCGGGGATCTTGTCCTTGTCGGGGAGCAGCTTCTGGAACGTCGGCTCCGTGTAGTAGGCCTTCTGGCCGTTGACGCGGGCGGCGGCGCGGGCGTAGATGTCGCCTACTCCCCAGCCGTTGGGCGCGTCGGGGTGTGCGTCTTCCTCCGCCTCCGTCTCCCACGGTCGGCCCATGTAGACTGCACCGACGGTCCCGAAGAGCAGGGTGGCGAGGTAGGACCAGTTGGCGACACGGTTGCGCCGTCTGTCTGTACTTGTCTCGTAGGCCGACTTGGGGAGCTCGCCGCCCTCGCGCCCGCCTGTGCTGCCCGCTGCGGGCTCTTGTGATGGGTCGTCTGGGTCCCGTCTCGCCTTGCCCTCGGCGGCAGCAACCTCGTCGGCAAAGGTGGATGGGATGCCATAGCGCAGGTCGGGCAATGGCTTCTGTGGCTGCTGGGGGGTCTCTGTGCTCTCCTCAGCGCTCTCGGTAGTGGGGGCCGTGTTCTCGCCCGGCGTCTTGGGGCCCGAAAACTCTTCCTGCTCGGGCGCAAAATCTCTGCCAGGCTCGTTCGATGTTTCTGTCGCGCTGGACTGGGGTCTCGATGGTTGTGTGGGGGTCGTGTTTGCGTCTGGCGATGCGGCAGTGTCGAACTCGGGCTGTGTCGATGGGCTGACGGGAATTGGCCGTGCCTTGTTCTCGGCATCGAACTTGATGGGGTCCGTGGGCTTCCACGTCTTGTCCTGGCCTGTCTTTTTCGCCTTCTTCGCATACGCGCGCGTGCATTGTGATGTGAGGGCTGTGGGGGTTGTGCGTGGAGCCGTCAGGACAGGGCGGATGCGCAGTGCGCGGAAAGCTGCCCGTGGGAGCATGCTGGAGCGATGGATTCTGTGTGGTACAACTACAAAGTACAAGGCAGGTCAATGCCTACAGTACAGGGACGATGTTGGGTGAGCGTGCAGTGGAGACGGGCAATGAAATAATTGCGCCAAGCTATGACGCTCCCATCCATGTGCGCTGCCATGTGGAAATGTGTCCCTCTTTCCCAGCACGGCAACACCGCCTGTCCACGCCTTTTAACGCGCTCGACTCCTCCCTCGCATAGGAACCAGTCCCATGTCGCTTTCTTGGGACGGCTGCGGGTATGCGACTGACTGGAGCGCCTCTGCGGCAACACGCGCCAGTCCCCGGAGGAGCACCCTTCCCGCTGCTATGGCTATGTTTGGTGTGCGTGTGCTGCTGGGCGACTCTCGGACATGGCATGACCGATGAAGCTATTTCGAATCTTCGGTACGCCTTCCCCTCCCACCGCTGCACTCACAGGCGCATACTCACTCCCACAGACAAGAGACACGCGACATCTTCTACCATGGCTTCGACAACTACATGGAACACGCCTTCCCTGAAGACGAACTGCGCCCGCTGACCTGCGCCCCTCTTACGCGCGATCGCCAAAACCCCGCACACATCGAAGTCAACGACGTGCTGGGAAATTACTCCTTGACGCTTGTCGACAGCCTGTCCACACTCGCCATCATCGCCTCCTCGCCCCCGCCCGACGCGAAAGGAAGGAACAAGGCACTCGACGACTTCCAGGACAGCATCAAGCTGCTGGTCGAGAACTATGGAGATGGTAGACCGGGACCGAGTGGGCAGGGCGAGAGAGCACGTGGTTTTGATCTAGACAGCAAGGTCCAAGTCTTCGAGACGGTTATCCGGGGTGTGGGAGGTCTGGTCAGCGCACACCAGTTCGCCGTGGGAGATTTGCCCATTCGGGGATATGACGCCAAAGAGGAGAAGAGGCAGGGACAGGAGGGAATATTCTGGCCCAACGGACTGGTCTACGACGGCCAGCTGCTGCGTCTGGCGACTGATCTGGCCAATCGATTAATGCCAGCTTTCCACACTCCGACTGGTCTGCCATACCCCCGAGTGAACCTGCGACATGGCGTGCCTTTCTATGCCAATTCGCCTTACAACACGGACGCTGAGCATGGTCAGTGCAACAAGAACCCCAACGACAAGGGCACCGAAATCACAGAGACGTGCAGCGCTGGAGCTGGGAGTCTGGTCCTCGAATTTTCCACTCTGAGCAGATTGACGGGCAACCCTCGCTACGAAAAAGCCGCCAAGGACGCTTTCTGGGCCGTCTGGCAGCGCAGAAGTAGCATTGGGTTGATTGGTGCTGGCATCGACGCCGAAACGGGACAGTGGGTGTCTTCGTACACAGGCATCGGAGCAGGCATCGACAGCTTTTTCGAGTACGCGCTCAAGTCGCACATCCTGCTTTCTGGCTTGCCCTACGACTCGGCAAATGCAAGCACTGATTCTTCGGACGCCTTTCTCGCCGCTTGGGAAGATGCGCACGAGGGAATCAGGCGACACATCTATCGCGGAGCCCAGCACCAGCACCCACACTACGCTCAGGTCGATTTGTATACGGGCGCCATTCGTGCTTTTTGGATCGACAGTTTGAGCGCTTTCTATCAAGGCCTCCTGACCATGGCTGGGAAGCTGGATGAGGCTATCGAGACGCATCTACTTTACACTGCCCTTTGGACTCGCTACTCCGCCATGCCCGAACGATGGTCGACCGCATCGGGGAATATCGATCATGGCTTGCGCTGGTGGGGTGGCCGGCCCGAATTCATCGAGTCGACTTGGTACATCTACCACGCTACAAAAGATCCCTGGTATCTTCATGTTGGCGAGATGGCGCTTCGCGATATCAAGAGACGCTGCTGGACGAAGTGTGGTTGGGCTGGCTTGCAGGATGTCCGTACTGGCGAGCTGAGCGACCGACAGGAAAGCTTCTTTCTGGGTGAAAGTGCGAAGTATTTATTCTTACTCTTCGATCCCTCACACCCACTCAACACGTGGGACGCGCCGTTTGTCTTCACCACGGAAGGTCATCCTTTGGTCATACCAAAACGTCTGCGTCCGGCCAGGACAAAGCTTCAATCAACCAAGTCCCCCTCCGAGTGGCAGCCGGCTCCGGCAGCATGTCCTCTTCCACCAGCTTTACTGCCTTTCAGCATCTCTGCCACGGCTGCGCGGCCCGACATATTCCACGCTGCAAGCCTGGCTCGTCTCCATCTCATGCCGACCATAGAGACACTCGAGTCGCCACTTGTTGAGTTCAATGCGGACCACCCCAGCATCTCCATATCGGACTTGCGGTCTCCCTCCAACTACACGTACTACCCATGGACGCTACCACTCGAGTTCATTCCCCACAACGGCATGAGCTCAGTCATGGCTACTCGCAACACCTTCGATTTGTCCTTCCCAAACCTGCCCAACACATCCCAAGGCAGTGCTCTTCAACGGGTGCATGAAGGCATACTCGTCAACTCCATGAGCGGCATGCGTCTTGGCATGATTCGCGAGCGCGACAAGATCCTCAGCACAAACGACGACATGAACGAGCAGTTCCGCATCTACGCCATCTCCAACGTAGCGCTAGGCCGCGACGAGAAAGTCTTCATGTCCCGCGCGACCATCGAAAACGTCAACCCCCTAGACCCGTTCTTCACGCGAACGCGAAACCCGCACACCGTAGATCTAATCATCGACGCACCGCCCGAACCCCTCCCTGCGCCGTCGCTCAACGCACTAGACGACTTCCTCGACGCAGCCCTCGACGACATAACCAACCTCGCAGGTCTAGACGCAACCCCCATCGACCCAGACTCCGCCAACGAACCCTCCTACCTAAACTCATTCCTCTCCTCCCTACAATCCCTCCTCTCAGCCCCC